TTGGTCCACTTTGTACCCACCTGCACCCACTTCATATCCACCTCTGCACACTTTGTACCCATCTGTTTTCACTTCGTACCCAACTTGGCAGCAGCTACAATGCTGGTTTAATCTACTGTTTTTTTTGTTGTTTTTTTTTTCAAAATAAGATTGTTATTAAATCCTTAGCATTGTTAGGCCGAGGCGTTTGAGGCTGTAGACCAAACTTTTTGATCACCAGGACCCTCAGGATTTGTTTTTTTTTTTTACATCATTCTATACAAACAAGTTACTTAACTCTTAACATTTCATTTGTTGTCTGAGAACACTATAACTGCATGATTGCAGGAGTTGATGTTTCTCGTTTTATTCAGCGGTCAGTAAAGATAAATAAATGTAAAAATGTAAATTAATACACATCACCTGTGCTCCATTCATCCACCAATCACCGTGCACCTGTACTTTATGCACCATAACTGGGCCTTTATGTGAACACAGAGATAATTGTTGTCGAAGTGTGTAATTTCTTTCCTTTTCTTGTTTTTAAATTTCTTACCAAGATAAGCACATTACAATTATGGTATGCAATAATGTTGCTGTGAAATGAAGCACAGCTTGATCCTGTGAAGAGATTTGTGCAAAGACAGAAACAAGGAAAACTGCAGCTCAAAGAATTAAATACAAAGAGTGAGTCACATAAAAAGGGCCAAGACACTGAAGAAAAACAAAAGGAGGTTTCCTGTCACCACCACAAGAAAAGACGCCCTCGTGGTAAGAATGAAGTCATTCTTGTGTTCACAAATAAACAAACGCCTTCATCTACGAGGGCCTTTCACAGCCTCACAACAAAACGTCCGTCTCTCGTGACATTTTTGAGTGTTGGTATAAACAGGATTCCAAATGGAGAGAAAATGTCAGAAACCGTCCGGTCAGTCGGACAAAGAGACTCGAACAAAACCAGAGAGTGACACGTTGAAAGAGAGTGACACGTTGAAAGAGAGTGACACGTCGGGGCGGAGGAGAGGTGGAAACAAAAGGACTTGGACTGTCTCCACGGGCTGCAACAACAAAACGTCTTCCAGTAACGACAGAGCAAAGACCAAACGAGCATCAGCAGACATGACAGCACCCTGGTCCAAAACTCTTTCTGCCATGGACTCACACAAAAACACATTTTTATTTCTTAATTAATAAACAAAGCACACACTTCACCAGCTTACCTGCGATCTTGGTGGAGATCCTGGTGGTGACGGGCGGACCAAAGCCCTTGTTGGTGGAGGCTTTCAGGGTGAAGAAGTACGTGGATCCAGGGTAGAGGCCGACAAACAGGTGATGGGTTTCGTTCTTCAGCTTGAACACTCGGCCCCTCTGGGTGGTCAGATCAGCGCTGGGGTCCAAGGAGCTCAGAGCCTTGTAGGTTATCTGAAGACCAGAAGAGAAACAGAGTTTAAATATTTAGTTCTGTTAATGTGGAAAACCACCAGTTTGGAAAAAACACACAGCCGTGTAACGACCTTTAGTCTTGTTCATCTGAGAGAATACAATACTTCACATTCTGCAAAATGCAAAACTCAGGACTTCAACTTAAATTTTTTTCTTTTGTTGTTTTCTTTAAAAAATAATCTAAAGCTTCAACAACAGACAAATCCCTGTAAAACCAGTGAATCCATTATGAGTTATGAAAAAGCCTGCTCATCGACGTGAAAGTGTTGTCGGCTGTTTACATCAGGTCTGTGAGGCTCCACATGACCTCCGCTCACAGACGGACTGAACAAAAGGACCTCCTCACTAAACGACAGAAACGCTTCAGTAGTTCTGTTAAAGCAGCTGTCGACATCTGTCGCCGCGGTGAGCCGAGTAAGTTAGAAAAAAGATCGACTCGTGGATTAAAAAAGGGTTTTGTCCAAAAACATTTCAGGATTGTGTGAGTAAGTGCTCCTCAGCTCGTCTAAGGACTGGAACCACACACAACGATCTGAACGGAAGTCTTTCTCCAGTTTTATTTTCTACACTGTAACTTTTTGAGTTTTACTTCTTTAACAGCTTTTGCTCAACGCCGGCAGACGTTCCCAGGAGAAACCAGCAGCACCAGCATCACGGATGTCTGCAACAGGAACTTTGATTTGGAGCCGGAGGTTCTGCCTCTGGAGAGCGGTTAGAAAAACCAACACTAAAATCCTCTGCATCTATTTTCTTCAGCTTTAACAATCATTGCCTCATAACGTTCTCTGTTTAATGTTATTTAGAGCTACTGGCAACGAGTTGGACACAAAATCATGAAAACAGACAAACTTTCACTTGAACTCACTTTGAATCAGTAACAGAGTCTGAACAGGTCAAGAATAATAATTATACGTTAATCCAACACTGTTTGTCGACACTTTATGTGTATTTTCTGAGTAGTGTGCGTTACTGACTTTGGTTCTAGTTTAAAAATCATTGTTACTTATAAATGACATATTTTCCTTATATAAATGATTAGAAATAATTTGTGACAGATCCAGTTGGGCTTGCTGTGGATCAAATCGTCGCTGTCGGCTGTGAGGCGTTGTCCTCTTTGGACGCCATCTTTGCTCCTCCTTGACGTCACAGATGGAGGCAGTGGGCGGGACAGGAAGTGGACCTCCAGTTGTCTTATTTCACTCTATGATTGTATCCGAGTAAGTAAAAACAATCACTTGGTGAAACTGGCAAAGCCAGCACAGAATGAGTCATGAAAGCATAAAATCCAAAGTGCCAACAAGTGATGAAGATGGATGTTTGCATGAAGCTGCTGGCTGGGAGGCTGAGGATGTGTGGGAGTTTGCAGAGCGAGGCAGCAGGAGGAACATCTCAACACTCCAGCCCCTCGTCACTCCATTCGGCTGCTGCTCTTCAAACAAGCCTGCAGGCTGGAGCTGTGATGTGTGAATGTTTGCATGAAGAGAGAGGACAGAGGAGGACGGGACACGAAGGAAGCTCAGGTCTCGTCCACACAGGAAACAAGCCATGGCAGGTGTGTACGTGGTGCCACCAACACACACCAAAAACAGGAAACAAGTGGAGCACACAAACTGTCAATTCAAGAAGGAATGGATGAAGTTGGTGAATATAAGTGGAAAAACTAAATCATTTTTATGGACCAGCCAGCGTTTAGGACTTCTACACCCTGTCCCATTAAACTGCAGCTGACTGGGAGTCGTGTCAGTTCAAACCTGCGGACGTGATTGACAAATCCAGGAAAATATTCAAATATTCTTATTTTATCAAATATAATCTTAATGTATGCAGTAATTTTATTCTGTAACATTTGTTGTGTTGTACTGTTAATTTAAAAAAAGTAAAAGTTTTTTCTGTCTTGAATTATTTGGTGTATTTTATTATTATTATTATATAATATTATATTGTTAGAAGTTCAACCTTGCTGGAGGCCCTGGTCTGGTCTGACTCATGACCTGGTTCGGAACAGATCAGACCAGTCCCAGCTGGTCACAACGAGCGATCCCAGGGTCAACACCCGACAAGGAGTCAGTTCGTTTCTGCTTGATTCCAACACTTACAGGTCCTTCTCAAAAAATTAGCATATTGTGATAAAGGTCATTATTTTCCATAATGTAATGATAAAAATGAAACTTTCATATATTTCAGATTCATTGCACACCAACTGAAATATTTCAGGTCTTTAATTGTTTTAATACTGATGATTATGGCATACAGCTCATGAAAACCCAAAATGCCTGTCCCAAAAAATTAGCATATCATGAAAAGGTTCTCTAAACAAGCTATTAACCTAACCATCTGAATCAACGACGTAACTCTAAACACCTGCAAAAGATTCCTGAGGCTTTTAAAAACTCCCAGCCTTGTTCATTACTAAAAACCTCAATCATGGGTAAGACTGCCGACCTGACTGCTGTCCAGAAGGCCATCATTGACACCCTCAAGCAAGAGGGTAAGACACAGAAAGAAACTGCTGAACGAATAGGCTGTTCCCAGAGTGCTGTATCAAGGCACCTCAGTGGGAAGTCTGTGGGAAGGGAAAAGTGTGGCAGAAAACGCTGCACAACGAGAAGAGGTGACCGGACCCTGAGGAGGATTGTGGAGAAGGGACGATTCCAGACCTTGGGGGACCTGCGGAAGCAGTGGACTGAGTCTGGAGTAGAAACATCCAGAGCCACCGTGCACAGGCGTGTGCAGGAAATGGGCTACAGGTGCCGCATTCCCCAGGTCAAGCCACTTTTGAACAAGAGACTGCGTCAGAAGCATCTCGCCTGGGACTGCTGCTGAGTGGTCCAAAGTTATGTTCTCTGATTACAGTAAATTTAGCATTTCCTTTGGAAATCAAGGTCCCAGAGTCTGGAGGAAGAGAGGAGATACAGAATTCACATTGCTTGAGGTCCAGTGTCATGTTTCCACAGTCACTGGGGTGCCATGTCATCTGCTGGTGTTGGTCCACTGTGTTTTATCAAGGACAGGGTCAATGCAGCTAGCTATCAGGAGATTTTGGAGCACTTCATGCTTCCATCTGCTGAAAAGCTTTATGGAGATGAAGATTTCATTTTTCAGCACGACCTGGCACCTGCTCACAGTGCCAAAACCACTGGTAAATGGTTTACTGACCATGGTATTACTGTGCTCAATTGGCCTGCCAACTCTCCTGACCTGAACCCCATAGAGAACCTGTGGGATATTGTGAAGAGAAAGTTGAGAGACGCAAGACCCAACACTCTGGATGAGCTTAAGGCCGCTATCGAAGCATCCTGGGCCTCCATAACACCTCAGCAGTGCTACAGGCTGATTGCCTCCATGCCACGCCGCATTGAAGCAGTCGTTCATGCAAAAGGATTCCCAACCAAGTATTGAGTGCATAACTGAACATGATTATTTGAAGGTTGGCGTTTTTTGTATTAAAAACACTTGTCTTTCATTGGTGGGATGAAATATGCTAATTTTTTGGGACAGGCATTTTGGGTTTTCATGAGCTGTATGCCATAATCATCAGTATTAAAACAATTAAAGACCTGAAATATTTCAGTTGGTGTGCAATGAATCTGAAATATATGAAAGTTTCATTTTTATCATTACAATATGGAAAATAATGACCTTTATCACAATATGCTAATTTTTTGAGAAGGACCTGTAGATTTGCACATCACCCCATTATCAACCATGAGAACCAGATCAGACTAATGAGGTCACACACAGTCACCCCACTGATGCACTCTGATAGTCACCCCACTGATACACTCTGATAGTCACCTCACTGATGCACTCTGATAGTCACCCCACTAATGCACTCTGATAGTCACCCCACTGATACACTCTGACAGTCACCACACTGATACACTCTGATAGTCACCCCACTGATACACTCTGATAGTCACCCCACTGATACACTGATAGTCACCCCACTGATGCACTCTGATAGTCACCCCACTGATACACTCTGACAGTCACCCCACTGATACACTCTGATAGTCACCCCACTGATACACTCTGACAGTCACCCCACTGATACACTCTGACAGTCACCCCACTGATACACTCTGACAGTCACCCCACTGATGTGCTCTGATAGTCACC